AGAGAGAGAGAGAGAGAGAGAGAGAGAGAGAGAGAGAGAGAGAGAGAGAATCTCTACATTGTCTCTACAATGTCTACATAGTTGGCTATTTGACATGTCATCTTTGTGGAGCCCTCATCGCTCTTTCCTAAAGACCGCAACATTATATATATATATATATATATATATATATATATATATATATAGAGAGAGAGAGAGAGAGAGAGAGAGAGAGAGAGAGAGAGAGAGAGGGTCATCTCCACATTGTCTCTATATACTTGGATATATGACATGTCATGTTTGTGGAACCCGCATCGCTCTTTACGAAGGACAACAACATTTGTTTTTATGTTTTTTTTTCAAAGAGAAAAGCCCTCTTGCAAGTCCTCCATCCTGGTGGTGGTGAGAGAACCATCCTACCCCATAAGCGGCGTTGGCCACGGGGGAGGGGATAGTGGAACACTGCGTGCAGGAAGCGGGCGTGAAGTCAAAAACAGCCTTTCGGATTGATGCGGGCGGCCAAGATCCATGCAGAAGCCATTCTCTACCCGGATGTTACATCTGCGTGACGAACGTGGAGCTGCCTTCTGGCATGGAGAGGAATGAGGAGCGTCGACGGAGAGGAATATCTCCAAAGGGGCACTGTCAGATAGCGGGGAAGAAGACGACGAGCCTGACTCCCCCAAGAGAGGGGGGGGAAAAAGAATGTAATAACCCGCCAAAACACAGACTGAGAACACTGCTGATTTCTGAGTTTTGCCGCTGGAATGAATGCCTTGCTGAGATTCCCGCGTTCTGCTGAGTTTTCTAAGTCTGTGTGTGTGCATGCCTGATGGTCGGTGTGCCTGTCTGAGTGCTGTCGGCCAGACTGTGTGTGTAACCAGCAAGGGCACTTGTTTGTTTGGAGGCCCCGCAGGGACGGTGCTTACCTGTGGCCGTGACTTTGAGGGTTGCAGCGGGGAAGACACTCAAGTAGCTGGAGTAGGCCTGCGACACTTAGGGCAGCGGGGAAAATCACTGAAGTACCAGGTAGGCCGGTATTACTCAAGTAGCCATAGATGTGTCGGGAACTGGAGGCCGAGTAGAAGAAGACAAAAGTTGGCATTTTTAGGGGTCCAGTAGCAGGTAGGCTATGTGTAGGCGGGTACCAGTCCAAGTAGCCGGAGTCTAGGGCCTGTGCGGACGATACCAGAGCCTGCAATGATGTTTCCCTCCGAAAGCGAGGAGGTACCGGTTGCTTGGAGAGGCCGCGCAGCCTGGAAGTCACCGCCCAAGAGGCAAGTAGGCCGCTATATCTCTGGGCAGAGCGGGTTGCACTGCCTCATTTGCGGTATGCAAGTTTGGGCGTCATGCTGCTTGAGCTGGCGCTAGCCTTCAGAGTGCTGCTTGGAGAAGCAGAGCAGCTCCACTAGCGCTGCCTGGGAGGAGAAGCGCCTGGGTGACCTCCCTGGCTATGGAGGAAGACCCCAGGTAGGAGGAGGAGGAGGAAGAAGGGGACTAGGGAGTTGAGTGGAAAGGGAGTTACCTGGCTATGGTGGATGCCATCTTCATCATCTTGTTAGGAGCTGCATCTGGAAGGCCCCGGTGGGGGTTGTGCCACACCAAGAAGGCTTCAAGGCAGAGTCAGGCATGGCGGCCTGATCAGCAGCAGACATAGCTGCTTTGCATTGTCTTTTGCACAGCAGGGCTAGGCCCTTAGTAGTCTGCCATAGCCTCGGCCTGGTTGAGCAGGAAGAAGATGGAGGCCATGGCTATGGTGGACCTCTAGTGACGCCAAGCAGTAGAAGTGGGATTTCAAACATTGATTCTGGCTCTCCATTCATCATTATCATTATTGTTTATTAAATAATATTAATTGAATTGAAACGGTTTTCACCTTAGCAGTAGCAGATGCAAATCCCAGGGCTCAATCCCTAGACATTACCACACCCTCGTACAGTATCGAGTTGACCCCTGTGTGTTTAAACCCGTGACCTGTGTTTTGGTAGTTGACTGTAGCTGTAGGGGTTAGATCTGTAGATCTGTCGACTAGGGGTCATAGTTGTGTAGAGGCCGTAGCTGTAGCAACTCTGAAAGGGCAAGGTCGTAGCTGCTATAGTCCTGAAGGGTCAAGGTCGTAGCTGCTACAGTCCCGAAAGGCCAAGTCCACAGACTTCCGGAAGGTCCAGAAGTGGCCTTTCAAGTTTTTCTCACGTTACTCACAGAGGCAAGTGGGCAAGTGGTGAGTCCAACTTCGCTTAGTCAGCGGTACCCAGTCCCAGTCTCACTTTGTACAGTCAGCAAGTACCATGGGGGACTGTGTGCACCATGGGCACGGTGGAAAAGGGCAGACCAGCGACTTACAGAAGTATAAATCAAGAGGCAGCGTCCAGCCATTCACTCATTCCTGTGTGAGCCATGCGGAAGTGCTGCCCAGGCGTCTTGTGCGAGGTGGTCTGCAGAAGCCCAAGGCTGAAGTGGGCTGAAGGGAGATAGATCGTTCATAGCCAGTAGTGGTAGAGCGGCCATAGCCGCTGTAGCATAGAGGTGGAGCTCAGTGTGTGTCTGTGTGTGTGTTCGGTACTGAGTTTGTGTGCGTGGGGTATCCAGGGAGATCCAGAGTCGAGTGCGTGCA